ACAACCAGCTTCCCTGCAGCTGCTTCCTCGCAGCAGCTTCCTGGGACAAACAAAAATATTGCTACTCTAGAGTTTGAATGACTTGAAGATTAAATATCTACAACTTTGGAGTTTAAAATGCTTGAGCTATGAGTTCTAGAAAGCTTTTGTAATTGGTTCGTATAAACAGCTTGGTCCCCAGCAAGTATTGTCAACACCATGCTACCACTTCTATGATGGTCAACATTTCTAAGTTAATACTTGTTACATTTTAACACCAAGTTTTTTATTGAGGAAGGTCAATGGTTTCTTGACTTGAATAGTACTAATCCAAATCAAACACGCAAGGCATCAATGTCAACAATGAATGGCTTTTTTTTTAAATTGTGAAATGACAAAAAGAGAGAATTAACCAATACTTTATCCAAGCTTCCAAGGCGTCTTTAATATGTCCATTCCAGTAGCTTAGAGAAGCTACTGTGTTTGCAAAGTTTTCTTGAGCATACAATAATATCCTACTAGGTCAAGGAATTCATGCAACTATTTTTTTTTTTTTTTTTCGGTCTGCTTCGATCATACTTGATTTGGATTGATGTCATTCATGCACACAACATTTCCCAAGCACTCGACTCAACTTAAGGTGAAATTTGTTGCAAAGGGAACAGTCGAGTACTAATTTTAAACATTATACATGTTCCGTCAAAATATGGTTGCATGACGAAATAATATCAAAGAGAATAATATCAAATTTTTTTGAGTGTTAACATAATATTCATGATATTCTATAATGATGTTGAGATGTTTGTTAGCCAAATGACATTATGCCAAATTCATAGCACCCTTAGTGATAAGATATTACATATAAAGTACGGTAGTATGCATCATGACTAATTGATATTAGCCCGCTGTCAAGTCTAACACAGAGAATATGGTTGCATCAAAAGTTCATCCAACATTCTATCAATAGTTGGTAATGGGTAGCAGTTTGGGAAGAATTCTTCTAACATAGAGAATATGGTTGCGTCACAATTATAGTACCAAAGCGGGATCTCCTGTCCCTTGCCTTTTGTGGCTGTTCTGCCTCATCGATTCTTGTCATGGATTTCTCATCTTTATCATTGGCGTTTTCCATTGGCCTATCACCATCTCATAAACTTTCACAGTAGACGATGTGGCATCCTATTAAGCATGTTTATGTTTGTTTAGAAACACTAAGGTGATAATGACTTTAAGAAAGACCTTCTTTGATTCCATGTAAACATCAACACTTTTGGAAGCCCCATAAAATGCATCATGGTTTTGAGTCTTTTAAATAGGTTATTTCTATCATATATGCTTTAAACCATATAATGATAACTTTTGTCTACACCTTAAAATGCAACACTTCCTCCAAAACATTCTAATGCCCATAGGAGATATTGGAAGAAATTGTCCACCTCTAGAATTGTAAGTGCTAGATCTAGGGATTATGGTGAATCGATCTACCACTCAAATTGTAGATTACTCATTGCATCTTATTTGTTGGCATGAAGATTAATCAAATTAGCACTAATTTCAGTTTTTCCACATATTTCTTACAATTTGTTCGTTGATTTCGACTCAGCACTCTGTCTAATTTCTCCTCTAAAATTTCTACTTTTTTGTTGTCATTACTCCAAAGAAAATTTTCGATCACGAAGGCAGCACTCTGTACACTCGTTAGCTTCCTAGCTAGCTTGAATTGCGATATCACGTGGTACATTCATTGTATGTTGCAATCCCATTGTTTGCTTCTCCGCTAGGTCGAATTGAGCGGTTGCATCGCTCTGTAGGCCACGATCCAGTCATCTGTCCACTGTGATCCCGTTGTTTCTACACCCTACAATCCCGAATCAAGCGACTATTTCGCTTTGTACATGGCAATCCCGTCATCTGCTTCACAACCATATCAGCTCCCAGCTGGCTTAAATAGCAACAGCACCTCAATCCCGTCAACTTCCCAAATTGCCACCAAGCCACAACCACCCCAAGCCACATCCACAACCCCAGGCCACTGTCACTCCAAGCCACACCATAACCCCACATCCACCCATAACCCCAAACCACAGCCACCCCAAGCCACATCCACAACCCCACGCCACAGCCACCCCAAGCTGAATCCACAGCCTCAAGCCACAGCCACCCCAAGCCATACCCATAACCCCAAGCCATATCCACCCCAAGCCACATCTACAACCCCAAGCCAAAACCACCCCAAGCCACATCCACTTTGCTAGCACAATTTCCAACGTTTACAACTATATTTATTTCAGGAAGCCACTTTTTAAATATTTTTGACCAATTAGATAAAGTTGAAAGTGGAACAACAACAATAAAAACTTTTGCCCAAGCCTCAACCACCCAATTGATATGTATTCACATCAATGCCCAAGCCACAACCACTAAGAACTCCAAAGAACAATAACAATGCCCAAGCCGCACCTACAATAAATTTTATTTTCCTTTTTTTTTGTTAGATCCTCATGTAGACCACCCAAATGATGTGTATTCACATCAACAACCATGCCACAACCAATATAGACCCTCACTCAAAAATATCAAACATCAGATTACTGTCATCTCTAAGCCATAAAGGTCAAAAAAAAAAATTTTAATACACTTACCAAACCCAAAATCGAGTCACCAAGAACATCTAGCATTCACATCCATACCATCACACAACATTTACAAATCTAAACACAAATCCAACGAATAAGCATTCACATATGTTGAAGAAAAAGTGCTCGAACCACCAACTCCTTGACTACAACCAAAAGAAGAAACACTCACAACACACCGTCACTACATCCAACACAAGAACCACTGAATCCATATGTCCCAACAAAGACAGCTACAAAAAAACATGTGAATCGCGAGATTGGGGAGAGGAGAGGAAACCTAGCGATTTGAGACATAATCCGGGAGGTAGGAGCGACAGGGAGGAATGGTTTCGTCGAACAGTAGAGGAGTGCGAGGAATTTGGCTTCAAACAGAGGAAAAAGGGATTAGGGCAGGAGTGACAAAGGGGTAACCCAGGTAATAAGCCATCGCTCGAACGCGGGTCGCGGGGTTCAATCCGCGGCCCGTGTTTAGCCAAAACGGCGTCCCGCCGCGCTCGGAATGCCGTCTCAAACGGCCGCAATTCGCAGCCAGCCCCCACATCGCGCTCTTACCGCCGAACCAAACGGACCCGTAATCTTCATATGTTAATGTGCATGTATACTTCAAAATATATAAAGTTAAATATAAGCTTCATTATATAATTATCAAACGGTATATGTTTTGAAGTACGAATCTTTGGATTAATTTTATGAAGGAAACAAATTAGAAATTTATGAATCAAAATTAATTGCTTTCCAGAGATCAATTGTGATTATTTATTGCAAACATATCAATATGATTGATAGGTTTTGCACAAATATATAAAAACCTCTAGTTATGTTACTAGCTAAGTAGACATTATCAAGTGAAGGTAACTTGCTTTACATGTTCCATGATATTCAATAATCCTCATGCCACATAAAATATAGATTTAATTTGATGCTTAATGTAAAGAATTTACGTGTGTGGGTATTTTAACAATACCTAACAAGCAATTTATCACAATGGCGTGGTCATATCTAATATGACTTAGTGTTCAAGTTGACGTACGAAAATGGATAAAAAGTGTTAAGTGAGAAAAATGGTTAATCAAAAACATTTGTGATCATTTGTGAACATATTGTTGAAGGGGGGTTAGTTTTATCCCATATAAAAAACACCAAAAGTAGACTTATACATTCACAGTATTTTGATCAGTGAGTTGAAATGGTAGAAGTTAATAAACATGTCCATAGGAGGGCACATATTATTATGAATTTAACACTAACCAATCCCTTTGATGATGTGTTCTATACAATGTTAAGATTAGGTTGAACTCAACTCTTTTCCATAGGGTTCACACCATCACTTGAACCCTTTGAGGATTCACTTCAGTGAAAATTGTGGGGAGCCAGCAGCTTTGAGATTTGGATAAGATCTTAAAATTCTCATCAGAATCAAGGTAAAGACTCAAACAAATTGTTATAAAACAGCTACCCTGCAATTAAGCCTACTAGACTCCTATTGTATGTATATTTCAAAATATCAAATAAAGAATTAATTTACTCCAACATTGATCGTTAGTACAACGATATCATTGGTAAGCAAACGTTGACGATATTTCTATCCACCAAACACGATAATTATATTGAGCCCAAAATTTTACTTCAATATTTCAATTTTTTGTTGGTTATTATTAAATTTTATCAGTCTTTTTGGGGTGACCATTTATTTTATAATTAAAAGAAAATAAAAAAATTAAATTTGTCTATTAATTCCATATGCCCAACTTAATTATACTTAGGATATTCTACCCTTCAGCTTTTAGCATGTGGAAAAACAGCACAGTGAGATTATGTGTTTTTTTTTTATTTTACCCATAATAAAATAAGAACTTTGGACAGATGAGCAAAAGATGAACATGATATACCTTCTCTTCTTTCATTTAATGATTATAATTTCTTCCACAAATTGAATCCTAAAAGTGTGGGTTTACATAAATTTCCACCGGGTAATCTTATAATGAAAACAAGAAGCAAGTATCTTAGGCAAATCTGGAAGTAATAGCAGTCACAAATCTCACATGAAAGAGACACTCTTTGGCAAGAGCAGAGATCCAATCTCAAGTTTTCAAGCTTTCATTGCTTTTTAACTAATAAAATATTACCTCCCAACAATTCATGTTATGCAAAATTTCAAATTTCTGACAGTCCCAAATTATTTTCATTTTTTTCTTGTTTTTTTATTAGCATTATGTATTTAGCAGTCAAAATATTCCAACAGAATCCACAACATGAAGACCCCACCAATCAAACATGTCAGAAGTGTTAAACCAGGGGCCGCTCACATGAGAGGAACTCTTGCTAATGTCTAAAAGTAAGTTTTAACTTCTAAGTCAAGCTAGCGGACAGAGTGAAGGTTTCGTTATTATGGTTACTTCATCTCTATCCCTTCATAATGCCTCATAGACATTAGCTATCAGACGGCACATACACATTTAAAGCAGAAAAAATGGCATGCAAGGCCAAACAAAGCATTAAAAGACTTACTTCCCCAAAAGTTCTTCGACTTCTCGCTGAATTGGCAAATATACTTGTCATCCGCACCAAGAATCTGAGCTCCAACGCCAGTAAAACGATGCCCATACATTGTCCTATCCAGCACCCCCATCCCATCAGAAAATGCGGGATTCTCCATTGAATACATAAAGCAGAAGTTCTGCCTACAATGGGGGATCGACACCTTGAAGTACCAGCCCTCAAAGAACGCCCTAGCCGTCCCATCAAAATGATATCTACAAAATTAAGCAATGCCACAGCTAAAGCTTATATTCAAACTCTTGGCGCTTAGCGTCAATCATTCGACGAGAAATTTCCAGAAGAAGAGAAAGAAAACCCGCTATGAGGAGTCCGGAGCTCCCTGTCGCCGGGTGTTGGTATGTAAATCGGAGACGGGGAGACCGCCCCCGTCTTTTCAGCTTCAGAGGCCGAAGTTGCCGCTTTGTGTTCAGGTAGCCGCCGCCGGAATCCTACATTGGTTGTCGGGAGCCTCCGGACGATGGAAAAACGCGGGGGCAGAGGAGAGGCGGTGGGAAGAGGTTGCAGGAGAAGCGCAGATGCTCCCAAAAGATCCATCGAGATTCATCAAGAAAAGAGTTGTGAAGAGTTGGGGTTAAAATTAAGCTCGGTGCGAGGTTGGGAGCAGCTCGTCGTGGCCAGCTATCCTCTCCCCCATCACGAGAAAAGTTAATTGCGAGGGTTAATGCACCGTTGGAGCCGCGGAGCTGGTTATCGGAGTGAATCGATGCGCTGTTGCACTCCCATAATCTTTTCATTTCACTTTAATTTTTTTAGATATAAGATGCACGAGAGATATTATTAGAGTCCGCACGTAGAGAGAGAATCTTTTCATTTCACTTTAATTTTTTTAGATATAAATGAGAGATATTATTAGAGTCCGCACGTAGAGAGAACATCAAAGAATCATCCCCATCTCAAGTTTCAACCACAAAAAAAAGGCTATTTACACTTAATGCTACATTTGGGCTAGAATTATTGTAAAATGAGACATATAGCCCATGACCTCTTTAGTCCAACTTCTGATCAGCCATTTTAGGTTGGTCGGCTCCCAATTGATTGACCTTTGGTTGGTCATCTTCTTTTCAATCGGTCAACTTTTGGGATGGATGGCCCCTGGTTGGTCTGCCCTTAATCGATCGACATCTAATCGGCTGCCCGCTCGATTGACCTCTAATTAGTTGGACCTTAATTAGTTGGCCTCTAATAGGTCGCCCACTTGATCGACTTATGATCGGGTGACCACTATCATTCAATTATCCTTGCTTTTGGTACCCATGCATTACTTGAAGTTCACCTTTTTACATGTCTTATTGTGAACTATCATATACATGAAAAATTCACTCAATAGCATTTTTATTGTACATATTTTTATTCTATGATTCTTTCTTATATTAATATGTTATGTTGCGATAAAAATGAGCTAATTAAAAGCAATAAATTATTGTTTATTATTAAATGTCATCAATGATTGATATTCCCCTTATTCTTGAGCTGTTGATTATTATAAATAGGATGTGAAGATGTCTCTCTAAATTTGATTGCTTTATTTTCTAATTTTATTTGCAAATTGCTCTACTTTGCATCTGATTTCTTTCTAGCTTTCTTTATCAATTATTCTTCTGCTTCACAAGAGCTCACAATGGACAAACTTACAAAGTTCCAACCTGACATTCCAAACAAGCTCTTGATACAAGAGATCTTTGAGAAGGAGAAAGGTAGGAAACGTAATGAGGGCGATCAAAGAAAGAAACTAATGATGGTCTCATCTTTGAGTCAGGCGGACTCTTCTGTGATAGCCCCAAAATATGCTCAACCAGTCACTGTAGCTCATGACCCAACGTTCAACCTGACACTACAACACATGGTCTGACTGAAGGTTGAATCTCTCGGGCAACTATTTATGCTTTCTTATTGCCACAAGGAGTCCACCCAGAGGAGCAAACAGTTTCATAAATGATAAGGGTTTAGAAACTTGGGTTCCCTGACATGTTAGTGACTTTTGCCTCTGCGCTGACTTCTAATCCTTATTATCTTTCATGTTGCAGATGCTTCAACTCAACTAAACTCATTATTTTGAGAGTGGACATTGATCAGGTGGTGGAAAGAGATCGTTGGTTTGCCATCAAGGATGGTGGATTCAACCATCTCAAAGATGTCCAACCATTGTAGGAGACACGTAAGGATATCGCTAAAGAGGTTCGGGCATACAACGAGATGATGGCTCATCGCCTATTCAAAGATGCACGCCTTTTTGTTTCCCATAATGAAGCTAGAAGAGAAGGTTGCTACAAAGAAGCTGATGGTGGTTGCTTTCCATCAGGAGCTCATAGATCTACGAGAGAGATCCCATGTTTCCCAAGCTCATGTTGAATTTGATATGCTCTATCATTTTATAACTGGGTTAAGTTCTTACTTCAAAGGCTGCTTCAGCTGGGTCATGTTTCAATTGAGGTGGCTTCAAATTCTGTGTAAGCTACTTCTTTCCCTAATTTCCCTAAAGTTGAGTCAATGTGAGGGCTTATTGCAATAATTTTCTTATATCTAATCAATAAGCTTTATTTGGCTCTTTGATTTTCACATTATTTTTTTCTTTGGCTAATCTTTTAAACCTCTTATGGTCGATTATGTATATACTCTTCTCGTGATTGTCAAGGTTCTCTTAGACTCTATAAAATGGTCTTCTATGGTGACAAACACATTTCCTTTATCATTTTCCTTCATAGCTCTCTCTCCAATGGACACATGGCTTCCCGCCACTACTCATTGATAGAGTCTGTGATAAAAAAACCCCTCTAACTTGTTAAAGATGACCAAAGCATAGTTAGAAAATATCATGCGAGCCATGACTTCAATATTTGTGATATTCATGTTTTTGGATGGGGATCACATGGTTGATCGAGCACTTCAACCACCTCTTTTCCTTCCAAACATATTTGAATGGATTCATTATTTTCTCATCTATAGGTCGTTTTCATTTTATAAGGCTCAAGAATATTTATGAAGGATGAAAGGCTCAACTTATGCTTTAATTTCATGAAGGATGGCTGACCAATCAAAATAATGTCAACTTATGTCCCACCTCCAAATATTAAGTCAAAGGTTTCACTTAAGGAGCAGCTGGTGGCAAACAAGGCCAAGAGGAAGTTGATAGCCATTAAACAATATTTTGATGTTTTAGTGATCAATATCAAGATGACAGAGTCTGATTATAAGGCTTATGATGCTCTCCATTTCAAGCAGGATGTGGTTCTAGCCATTGATAAGCAAAAGAGAAGCCAATCGTGAATCTAATAGGAGAGGATACTGCTTTTTTTTATTTCTCATTCTACTATCGTTATCTAGAGAATAGGGACTGATGAACATCTTATTATAGATACCTAGGCCAACTGTGAATTGCTTGGTGGAATGGAATCAAACTGAGGTGAGCTTCCTCTGAAAGTTATGTCTTTTAGTTCCCATCCTTCAAAGCAGGGGTTCATTTCCTTAGAAATGAGGCACAATCGTGCGGCCTTTCCTAGAATATTTTAGTTGAAGTGGATCTCCTTATAGAAGCAAAAGATAATATTTTTGGCCTCAGTAAAGATATCAGATGTTGTCTGATATGCTCTACAATGGGCATTGTCATTACTTCTCCAAGTGTGGCCAAGACTTTTTGGCAGTTGGGCTTAAATGAGTTGTTGCAGGACGCTGACCGCCTATGCGCACTCACTTAGTAAGCTCCACATGCCTTGTCAAACTATTTCAGTTGTGAGCATCAGCCCCGAAGGAGGGCAAGAGGAAGGCACAAGAATGTGATATGGAATTCGAGTTAAGCCACTTTTGGGAATCATCACTTTATGAGGACCTGGTTGAAGAACACTGGGTGTTCAGGTTAAAGAACACCAAACAGAGCGGAGGAGGGAAAAAATTCACCCTAGATGTATCACATTCATTGTCCGGACGCACGCAATATTTTTTCAAGTCAGAGGGGGATGAATATGACCAAAATGGTGAGAGTGAATAGAGTGATGAGGGTTGTCAAATGTATGGCTGACAGCTTTCTATTTTTTATTATGTTTTTGGTGCTCTTAATGAACAATAGATTTTTATAATACAAAATTTTCACAAATAAAATGTGTTTTGGTCATACATTTTCCTTAAATAGGGGAATCTTACCACCAATGCTTGAATTATGTTTTGACCGCAAGTGTCAGAGGGGCTTTACACTGCCATTACAATGCAAATAGCTAGTCTTGATAAATGAGGGATGGTTGGACAACTAATGATAATTTGAATAATCAATGGTGATTACGATACATTTGAATAATCATGATTGTGTTTATCTTGAATTAAGTTATTGATAGTTCTTGTCGGTTTATCTTCTACCAATTGAGTGTGGATATTATTCAAGAGTTGAGTTTCCTGAGTGTGCAAGTGGGCACTCCCCCTATAAAGATAGATGGTTCAATTGACGTACCTCAGAGTAAGAGTGGTAGGTTTTTGGGATTTAATACTTGGGGGGTGAAATGTCACGAAACCTTTAGGGATTTGAAGAGTCACTTTAAATGTGCCAATCATACCCACTCTTCTGATTACCTTTAAATTCAGAAGACCACCTTCCAACCACGTTATCATTAAAATAGGCGGTAGAATTACTTGCATATGGTTTCAACGATCACTAAATGAAAAGATCAAAGATGAAGATGAGGGTGAGTTCGATGGCCCATACCTACCGCCACTCAACCTTTTAACTTCTTATTTGTTGAACTTTAAAAGAGTGAATTTCTCGTGTGTTGACTCCGAAGGCCAATCTTTTCTTGAGTTTGAGCGGGCAAGAAGTTTGTTAAATTTTCCATTTCCGCCCACTGTTGTGAGAGAATTTGTTGCTCCCTCTTGGTGTATCAAAACTTGAGACAATGTGTCAGTCTGAGTTGACTTTACCTACATACTTAGCCTTTAGGATGGAGTGTTCTTTATCAACATGAACAAGCGACCAAGGCATGCATATTTGTGTGGCACCGGGTGTGATTTATCAAATTTCTCAGGGCACTAGGTGTGGCACCCCTTATTGATTAGAAGAGCGAGTAAGTGAATGAATGAGTGGATGAGTGATTACTTTAATCGAACACGGGTCATCATGTAGACAGTTAAATGACCTTTTGTACTTAATGTACTTTTCATTTCACATGTTAATTTTGAATTCACTTGTTCTTTTTAATAGTCATATGACTACCAACTCCCTTCGACCAAGTTTCCCAAGTCTTGTGATCAGTCATTTGACGATGATTGAGACAATCAATTCATATCGGGCAAGTTCTTTAAGTTTATCGATCGCATGTGATTTTAGTGATGTATCTCATTTTCTTATGAAGGTTTAGGTTTATGGTAATTGTTATATGCATACCACCCAATTCTTAGGTATTTATATATCTACAACCTAAATTTTCTATTTATACTACCCAAATCTTTTATATCATATCAAAAATATTATCATTTTAACTTGTGAAAAGTCAAATACACCTTTCATACATGTGCACGGTGGAATGTAAGCAAAAATTAAAAGTTAGGTCTTATACATGTAAATATATAAGTATTGAGATGTATATATGTAAATTTTGCATACAATTTTGTATTGTACAAGGGGTATGATTTTTATGTAATTTAGTTTTATATCATTTATTTTAAGCTCAAACAATTGAATTGCGCAAGGTCATTGTGATTTTTAAGTTGGAACAGATTTAATTGCTTAATTTGAGATAGCTCATTTATGTTGTAGATGATATCAAGTTGACCCCAGCTTGAATTGAAATTAGACTGTTTACGGCCTACTTTAGGGTTAAATATGCAAGTGTTGCAATTAGATATGTTAATGAGTGTGAATTGTGGGAAATATATGTAAGTCATTTAGTTGCTAGGATTATATGAAAATAGCAAGTTAAGTTCATATGTTCCATATAAAATCTTATAAGAATTGAGTGATATGTAAGCTAATGCTCTCCGTACATGATACACACCAATTAAATTTTTGTATCAATATATATCCAATATTTCATATATATGACATTAGTGCTTCATTTTCAAGTAAAATATGAATCAATTTAGTACTTCTAGGCAATAAGTACATAATATGTTAACCATGCCTAATGCGTTCTTTTAGCAAATACATAGGTTAGCTATGCATATTCACACTGTATAATCAAGGATGTATAGTAAACTACATCTGAGTAGAAAAAGACTAACGTAGGAGTTCCTGAATGGTGTTGAGTCACTTATACACACACACAAACACAAATATATATATATATATATATATATATAAAGGAAACTGATATTTGGCAGAGTCTCAAATATCGATTTCCCTGTGTCTAAAGTTTCAGAGCCCCCGCGTCAGAGAACCCTAGCGTTTCGTTTCGATCGTCCCTGCTGCCCCGATCTCCACTCTCACGCGTCCGTGCTTTGGTGGCGTCATTTGCGGTAGAGAAGATGCGACACTGCGTCGTCCCGCAGCGCCGCTCGCCAGAGTTTCGCGGGCCTCCAGTGACACTAGCTCACCCGCTCGCCTGCGCTCGTTGTTCCTTCGCGCCCAGCAACACAAGGCTCCTCCTTCGCGCTGCTTCGCGCCCTACGACAACCGCTGCGTGCACTGTTTTGCGCCCTGCGACGAACCGCAGCGTGCGCTGTTTGTGCTTATCGACGGCGTCTGAAATGGCATCAGCGCGTTCCTACGCTGCCGCCCTCGCCAGTGATAACCCCGCCCCCCCCCCCCCTTGCTTTCCTCCTCCGCGCTGCTTCGCGCCCTACGACGAAACCGCGGCGTGCGCTGCTTGTGCTGATCGACGGCGTCTGAAATGGCATCAGCGCGTTCCTACGCTGCCGCCCTCGCCAGTGATAACCCCGTCTCCGCCCCTCTTTCCAATTTGTTTCCACAATGATACCATGACAATTTTGCACTTGGCATTGAAACCAGATTTCTCAAAAAAGCTTCCGTAAAAATGACAAACCTGCAATCTTTCTCACTGAGGCAAAGATCTCCACTCTAGCTGCGCCTTGCCGACTGTTCTTAGTAGGTAAGTTTCTTTATGGAAACCCTAAACTTGAACTAACTCGAAAGGACTTTGAGCAAATGAAGCTGAAAGAGGGTTGGAAGATCAGTAAATTGAATGGTCGCCACATTCTCATTCAATTATCAAATGATGAAGACTACACTCATTTGTTTGCAAGAAGACTTCTTCGAATTGAAAATTAGGTGATGAAGGTGTTAAAATGGACAGTGGATATTGACACTCGTACTGAACCTCCTACAATTCCGTTTGGCTGCGTTTCCTAGGTTTGAAGATCCACCTTTTTGATCAAGGGCTTCTCTTCGTTTTAGAGATGGTATACGGTAAACCCCTCAAAACTGACACGCCCACAGTGAATCTAACTCGACCTTCATAAGCTAGAATTTTGATAGAAAGGGATATTACTTTACCTTTTCCGGGAGAAATATGGATTGACACACAACATCAGGGATTTTGGCAGCAAGCAGAACTAGAACAAATACTACTTTATTGTACTCATTGTCATATGTTTGGACATTCTCATTCTCAATGTTATCAGTTGCATCCAAATTTAAAACATTCAAATAAAAACGCTTCTCGATCTGCCCCACCTCATACTTGTCCCCCTTCCACTCCTGAGTGCATTCCACAAACTATTGAAACACCAGTTCACACGATGCCACCTCCACCTCCCACTATCGGAGACAATACTATCTCTGTTCTTCCGACTGATATATTGGCAAATGGTTTAATTGGGTCTGATAATCAGGATAGTATTGAAGCTCCACATCCCTAGGATGCTTCAGGTGTTGAAGAGACATGCTTACCACCTCTCCAGAATCAGAATGTTGTTACTGCTAGTCAAAAGTTGGGGGCTCATTCTCTCCTACATGCCCAACAATTCATTGACCACACCGATCAGATGAGCCAGTCCTCGGATGAGGAATGACAAGTTTACACATCTAGAAAGAAAAAGAAGAATGGAGGCACACCCCAGCTTGGGAACTTAATTGATGATACTCTAGCAACTTCGGGTAATTGAACGACACTCAACAATTTGTTAGCTGTCTCCGGTCCTAGAACCAGAGGCAGAGGCAAGACCAAGTTGGCTCGTGCATAACAACTTATTTCCTGCAAGCTTTGTTTTTTTGTGATTTATCTTTGTTTCATCCTTTTAGAATGCTAGTGTCTGATGTATCGTATGGGTAGGCACCTTTTTTTGGGTTCTCTCATACAATCTCTATGTATCTTTTCAATTTCAATAAAATTAGCCTTTGTGCGTTTAATATATATAGATATATATATTATACGTACATATATGTACAGAGGGCAGAGCTAGCGAGTGAGCGAGACAGCAGGGATGATGGAGCGAGACCGAGAGATGATGGGTGCTAAAAGAGAGGATTGCGATCCTTCGAAGATCCCCGTCCAAACCACTTGCTACGGGACTTTTGCACGTTCTGCACAGCCAGCCGTTCCCCGTCGCTCCTCCTCGCAGCTTTCCTCATTTCTACCAACCGCAACCCCAACTGCCTCCGGCGCCACCGCCGGCGTACCAAGCCATACCCGTTGGATACCAATCTATCCCCAATCTATCCCCTCCGCGATAGTGGCAGAAGGCATACCCGTCAGAGAGCGTCGCCTTCCATGCGGTGGCATTGGCATTGGATGGGTGTTATTCTTGTCTGGTTTCTTGCTTGCCGCTGTTCCATGGTATGCTGGGGCTTTAATTTTTCTTATTGGAGCCCTGTACAAACGCGAGAAACCTGGGTTGGTTGCATGCACGGTTGCTGCGGTTCTTGCAACAGTACCCATCTCTTTTTGATTATTTTTCTTAGTGACATTCAATCAAAAGAACGTGCATTTGTTAGTAGAAGAACATATATATATATATATATGTATGTATACATATATATATATATGTATGTATACATATACATATACATATATACATATATATACATATACATATATACATATATTTTTTTTGATAAAAAGAGCAACTCGTGACTTCTTAAGCGTTAATTAAAGTAAAAGTTACAGAGTTTGATGTTAAGATAGAGGATCCCCAACTATCTATAGGGTTCTTGTCTCCGTATTACAACTCGCGCATTACAACTCCACAAAAAAAAGCCAAAATACATGAAGCAATTTTAAAACATGTGTACCCGCAAAGGAGTATACCTAAAAACAGCCATTAAGAGACCCAAAAGCAAATAATAAAGCAAAGTAGCACAGTGCCCAATCATTCTAGCAAGCCCCGTCCATGAAAAGAACAGATGTATTTGAAGAGCAACAGACAAAGCAAGACGTGGTATCCATCAAAAACCAAAATACATGAAGCAATTTTAAAAGATGTGTACCTGCAAAGGAGTATACCCAAAAACAGCTATTAAGAGACCCAAAAGCAAATAATAAAGCAAAGTAGCACAGTGCCCAATCATTCCAGCAAGCCCCGTCCATGAAAAGAATAGAAGTAATCGAAGAGCAGCAGACAGAGCAAGACGTGGTATCCATCCGTTCATCCAGGTGTGAAATCCATGAAGCCAAGGAACATATCGTTGAGAGCAATTTTTAATTCCACCAATAACTTCCATACCAAAAGAATTCTTAAAAGACCAAGAAAATCTGTGAAAGCTAGAAAAAAAACCAAATCTATCAATAAGAACCAACCAAAGAAGAAAACAGTAGGTGCAGGGCCAACCAATACTAGGCTCAAATGTAAGGTTCGGCCATATCACTCTTAATCAACTTAGCTAACATGGGGGGTGGATTAATGACAACAATCGGACCCCGCACTCTCTATTTAGCAAGCCAATCAGCAGATTTATTGCCTTCTCTATAAGTAAATGAGAAAAAGAATGTTTAAATTCTGCTCCTCCATAAATTGCCTAATACGTTTAAACCAAATTATTGCATACCAAGGAGGATTAATTTTAGCAGTACGCATATGAAAAAACATCTCAGAATCAATTTCCAGAAGAAGAGTTTTCAAATCAAGGGAGACAACAGTTCTCAAAGCCATAATAACAACAATAATTTCAGCCTCAATAGGAGAGGAAGCCATACATTGAGAAGCAAAAAAATAACAACCATGCCCCTGATCATCCCTAAAAATACCACCTACACCCTTTAACTCTCCAGCAAAACAATCATCTACATTAATCTTACTCCTTCCGTGCGAGGGCGGTGCCTATTTAACCATGATGGGTGTCCTGACCCTACCCACAGTAGGAGAAACATCATGTAGGGAGGAATAACGTAAAACCTTATTAAAATAAATCACAATAAAAGCAGAAGTGGTAGAAGGGATGAGGCAAATACCATCATATTTATGCCTATTACGAGTCATCCAAATGAACCACAAAATAACACCAGGAAACTAGCTATGTGAGGAAACAATATCAAAGTTCTGCCAAGTAGTCATAGCAGAGTTAATGGTTAAATTAGGTGGCCAATTAATGTCAAAATATTGACCTATGATATACCAAACTTCTTTAGCAAAACTGCAATAAAAAAAAGTGATTCCAACTTTCAGCCCCTCGTTTACAATTATAGCAGAAAGAAGCAAGCTTTAACCCTTTCATCTTAAGAATATCATCAAGAGGGAGTAATTTATGAAAAAACCTCCACAGAAAAAAAGCAATAGAAGGTGATAACATCTTGTGCCTGACATATGAGTGTCATTTCCACAAAGTGAAAGTGTGCATATGAGAATAAATCAGCTTAGTAACACAATTACTGCCATTGTTCTTCCAATGAGGCTTATTTTAATCATGCACTTTAATAGGATGCTAGCAATAACAGGGGCAACATCCCCAATAATCTCCTGCAACTTAGTATATTCCAATGTTCACCAATCCATAAATCAGAAACAAACAAATTAACATCATAACCAGGAGAAGATGTAAGGGAATATTGAAAAGGAGCCAATCATCATTCCAGAAGGAGATATTACCATCACCAATATCCCAAAAAATAAGTTGAGCAGCAGTATCCCTAGCAGCAATGATAGCTTTTCAAATCTTGGAATCTCCCACCTTCCAGTTAACATTGACAGGATGCGTATTTTTACAATATTTATGATGCATAAACCTAGACCAAAGAGACTCCCCCAATCTGAATTTAAACCAATGTTTACCATATTGATATCTATAATGTGCTTGAGAGATTTAAACCCAAGACCACCAGCACGATAAAGTTTATAAATATACTGCCATTTAGTCCAAATTTTAGCAGCTCTACCACCCTGCCACAAAAATTTATTGAAAAGAATTTCAAGCTTACTCATAGTACTTTTTTTAGCCTTAAGCACATGCATAATGTAAAGAGGTAGAGTAGTAAGAACACTTTTAAGCAAGGTAATCCGACCCCATTAGAAAGGTAATTATTACGTCAATCATTAATTTTAAGCTTAACCTTATCAAACACCTCCTCCATTTGAATTTGTTTAATCCTACCTCTAATAATATTCACCCCCAAATACTTGATAGGAAGCTTAGAAACCATGAAGCCCGTGTAGGTAGAGGCCCAAACCTGGATAGTTAAAGAAACATCTTTGCCAAAATAAAGAGAGCATTTAGCTAGATTAAAAATCATGCCAGAAGTGTTTTGAAAAACATTCAAAATAGACATAGTGGCTTTAATAGCATGTTTACTGGCATTGAGGAATAAAATAACATCATCCACATAAGCTAGATGACTAACAACAATTTTAGATTTATGCGAGAATCGCATGTAGGCATGATCCAATTGAAGTTTATTAATAAGCCTGGAAAGATAATCAAAAGCAATAACGAAGATAGTAGGGGATAAATGATATCTTTGTTTAATACCCCTGATAGTAGAAAAAAATCCATGAGCTTTACCATTAAACAAAACACTGTAATTGTTATTAGCAAGCCACCTTTGAATAATGAAGCAAAAATCAGCTTTGAAACCTTTAGCACGTAAAATGTTTATGACAAACTCCCAAATTTTTATGTCCAACTTAAGGACCATATTCCCACTCCTGCATTTTTTTGTCCAGCTCATCAATCATCTCTTGGGCTAAAAGAATATTGTCAGTGATATACCTGCCTTTAATGAACGCAGATTGATTATCAACAATAATGTGAGAGTGATGGGGTTGTAATCTATTAACAATGATTTTACTAATAACTTTGGAGATTACAGTTGTGAGTGATAATGGTCTAAAATTCTCCCAAGTGATCTTATCATTACCTTTAGGAATAAGGACAATAAGAGCAGCGGTAAAATATTTACCAGGATCATGCCTCAAAAAGTAGATTTGAATAGCAACCACCACCTCTCTTTTAACAATATCCTAGGAATTTATATAGAAAGTAGAGGAAAAGCCATCAGGACCAAGAGCTTTGTTAGAGCAAATAGATTTTAAAGCCTTTCGAATTTCCTGTTCATCAGGCGGATAAGACAGATATAAGTTATTAATATAGTCATACTCATCAGCAAAGTAAGAAGCATCAACAGGCAGAGTTTGAGTGGGAGTTTGATAAAACTCAGAAAAATAAGTAACAACACTATCCTTTATATCCTCAACATTAGTTAGTAATCTCCCATCACCAGTTTTGATTTTTAAAATACTATTAATGTTTCTCCTATGTTTTAGAGTGGCATGTAAATACTTGGTATTTCTATCCCCTGCAACAAAAGAAGAATCATTAGCCTTTTGCTTGAGCGGATTTTCCTCAGTATTAATAACTTCCATAAGAGTAACATGAGCTTGCTCAACAAAATCCAAAAGATGCGGGTTAGTAGGAAGTTGTGCCTCCATAGTATCAACAGCATGTTGTGCCTCTTCAACTTTAGTGTGGACATTACCAAAGACCTAATAATTCTATTTAACCGAATGAGCAGACATTTTGTTGTGCAATTGCCATAAAGTAAACCAAGGATTCCCAACTCCATCAAATTTCCAAGCCCGAGTGACCAAATTAAGATAATTTTTATGACTAGTCCAAACATTTAAAAATTTGAAACGAGATATGTTTGGTTTAACAGTGAAAGCCAAAGTAAGCAATAAAGGGTTATGATCAGAAGTAGCAGAGCTCAGATGTTGCACTTTAACAATAGGAAAGTGATTAATAAAGGAAGGATTGACAAAAACCGATCTAATCTCTGATAAAGGAAACCTCTCCTCCAAGTGTAAGGGGAGCTAGAATAACCTAAATCATAAAGGCTAGCATTAGCAATAGAACAATTAAATTTATTAATAGAAGTTTGATCAACTTTACCACCACCATTTCTCTCCATAGGATTCATAATCATGTTAAAATCACCTTCAACAAACTAATTGTCATTAATAATGGTCCCCATAGATTCAAGTTTATGCAAAAGGATCAATTTATCATGTAAAAAGGAACTAGAATAGACAATAGTGTCCCAACAATGATAATCATCCACAATAATTTTAGACAGAATAAATTGCTCCTCATCGTCCACAATGTGAATATTAACAGTAGGCTTCCAGAACAGTCAAATTTTATTATTAATATTACAATGATATCGATAATTTCTGAACTTATCAAGGATCTTCTGCCTGTTAACATTAACAAGAGGCTCAAGAATAACAAAAATAAGTAACTTGTGAACCCTACACATATATTTAAGCCTATTAAGGGAGTTAGGGTCCGCAACTCCCCTAATATTCCAAACCATTATATTAATCATGAATACGTGATCTAATCCTACTAGAAGATCTAGTAGGTTGGACCAAATGTTCCCCATCAGAGTGATAGTTGCCTTCTTACGAAGTATTTTCAGAATAAAGTTTAGAAATAGCAATGCTACGTTGAGCCTTCTTTT